AAAATAATTGTCGGAATTAAGGCCTTTTGTTAAGTTTTATGTCAAATATAAAATAACATTAATAAACACTTTGATTATATAAAAACTATAACAATAAAGATATAAATAGAGAGAAAAATTTTATCTAAAAAAAAGTTATATTCAATATTGTTAATATATTTTCACAACAAAATAATATAAGTTGTTGTAATTGTATTGTAATTAAATATAAAAATATATTTAAGCTGCTTCTGAATATACTCATTGATATAACTTTAATTATTGTATATAACATTTTTTTGTTGAAAATATAGTAAACCATTATTTTTGTTGTTGATAGATAATGGACAATAAATTTACTCTCAATTATAACTAAAACTGATTGTCTGTTTAGATCAATAAATGCGATGAAAGATATATATCCTCTTAAATACTTTTWAAAAAAATCAAAACTTTAATATTATTATGTCTTTCATTATGAATATATTATCTGATGAGTTGACATACATTTCTCGTTTACACAATTTATATGATGTGTCAAAATGTGTGGCATTTATTTATTATTTTTTGGTGTGAATATATTATCTATAAAGTTAATATATATATATATATATATATATCTTAAATTTATATACAAAGAGGCTTTAGGAAATGATAATTAAATTAAATGGTTTAAAGTTTTTTATTTTTGAAAAAAAATTAAATTAATTTAGAAACTTAAAAATAGCAATTACAAAACTAATATTTACTTAATTTATCTAAAATATCTTTTTTATCTTATAATAAATAAATTATGGTTTATTTTTTTAAAAAATGCGATAATAAAAGTAATAGTTAAAATGGAAATAAAAGAAATTTTGTGGAAAATTAATAATTTATTTAAAAGATTTTATTTTCTATAAAGAAAAATAGATAATACAATAAATAATAAATAGCTCTTTTAATTTAAAATTATTATTTTTAAGTGAATGAACTGATTATTGTATGAAAAACTGAAATAAGAGAGAAAAGTGTGGCTTAAAATACTTTTTTTCTATTAAATAAAACTAATAAAACATTTGAAATACTTTTTCTTCAATCAATTATTTGCAAAAACGGTATCAAAATTATTGGATAAAATTGCTATTACTTAAAATATAGGATAAAAATATATAACAAATCGATTTTAATTGACTTTTTTTGTTGTTAGTTTTGCTACAAATAAATTAAATTTTATTTATATATCTATTAATATTTTTAAAAATTATATTTATAATACAGAAATATTCTATAATACAATATAAAATAATAATGAATGATATTTTTAATTCAATCATTGAAGTGAAATAATTATATAATATTGTATAATAAATAAAAAACATAGTTTTCATAATTGAATGACCCGTACAATGAGATCCAGACACATAAAAAGCCAAATAAGCTTTATTACAGTTAATTAATTATATATTTAAAAATATAAAAAAATAATTTTAATTTAATTTAATTAAAACTTGTGTTTACTAAGCATATTACTAATTTCTTTTATGATTTTGTAAACAATTATATTAATTAGTAAAATAATTTTAATTATTATTTTTAATTAAGTATTCAATTTTAAGTTTTTTAAATTTTAATAAATGAAATAATTAACAAAATAAGTTATAACATATTAAAATTTAACTAAACGTTAGAATATTTAAAGTAAATTTATTAGTGAATTAATTTTATAGTACAACTGTATTGATTTAAACTAACTGTTAATACAATATAGTTATATCATTAGTTAATTGATGCGGTATGTGATAATTATTGATAAAAATACATTAAACAATTAAATTACATATTAAATGTGAATTATAAAAATATTGTAAATTATTTAAAAATACTGTTTAAATAAAAAACATATCAATAAATATATTAATATAATGTATAAAATCTATTTTTAAATTTAAGAAATTTTTTCAAATAAACAATTTGTATAAAAAATATTTAATTATCAATTTACTGTTTAAATTGGATCAAATATTTAATGTAAAATCATTAATTTTAAACGTTTGGTTAAAAAATTTACTTATAAATTACAATAATTATTTTAAATTGTTTTAATAGTAGTTTATGTGGTTACTTAATTTCATAATTATTTTCATAAATTGAATAATTTTATTTTTAATATCTTATATTTAAATTTAATATTAAGTTAAATCACGTTATGTATATCAAATGCAAATATACTTAAATAAATTATATTATTAACAAAAAATATATTTTCGAAAATTATGTCAATATTATTAAAATTCAATCAAACAATATAATATATAAATTTAATTTCGTAAAGTAACAAAAAAATACATGTATAYAAAGGATAATTTTTATATATTTATATACAGTATATATATATATAAGGATATTATTTTTATATATTTATATACAGTATATTATAGTGTATAATAAAATTGTATTATTTGTTTTTGCTGTTTAAAACACTTGTCTTATCATTTCCTAATTTTGGTTTAATATGTTATATAATGAACTTAAATTCATAAAATAATTGAAAAAACTTTTTTATTTTATTTATATTTAATGATTGATTAAAAAATTGTCGTTTTTATAACCCGATCACTAATTATTAATAAATATAAAGTGAAACGTTGAACTTTTTATGTATTTAAAAATTATTTTGATCCCAATATAATTTTCGGTCCCATTTTTATTGGTCAACTAAATTTTTGTAAATTTAAAGTACATTTATTAAAAACAATTATTTTTACAAATAAATATAAATTATAAAGCATTTAATTTAAATGACATAATCCTTATAATTTGTGATAAATAATATTAATCTTTATTTTGATAAAATGTAATATAAATTTTTAGGGAATAAAAACAAACAAATTTTTTTTTTAATTTTTAGGTCCTGTTTTTAATCTAATAGTATTTTTTACAAATGTTGGTTAATTTATTATTATTTTAAATAAATGATAGTGTTTTATCTAAATCATTATACATGTATAAACATAAAATATACAATCTATTAGGCAATTATTTTTATATATAAAAAAAATTCTTTAACTAGATAAGTTACTAAATAATACAATATTTACTTATTATGCATATTTTTTAAAAAGATAATTGACATTTTTATAACAATTTTAAACTTACTTTCTATAATACGGTATAATAAAAATGTTTTTCAAATGTTATGCATTGTGAATATGCCGTAAATAATTTGATCGACTTTTTTCAAAATCATTGGTTTTGTTTGTCAAAAATCAATGGAAAACACTTAATAATAGCGATTCAAAAGCAATTCATAAGAGAGTGAAGAAATGAATTTAAAAAAAAGTTTTTATATATCAATATATTTAGTTAACTTCAATATATGATATTTAATAATAACAATAATAATAATAAAAACATTTCAATAGATATACAATTGAATAGCAATTTTTGAATAAACTTTTAACCGCAAGTGTTATCAATAGCTTATATAAAAGTTATTTTGAAGTTACAACAAGTGTTTCCCAAACAATTGAACAATTGCTTTGGAAAAAATGGGTAATTTTCAAAATCAATATTTTTTAAAACATAGCGTATAAATAAAGTTAGATGTCTTACCTTAGTCTTTGATTGATTTAAATATAATAATATCGTAATATGAAAATCGTTTTTTCATAAAATACAGTTATTTCATAGACAAACAAATAAATTGTATCGATATATTAATATATAAGTATATAAATATAAAATAACAATAAAAATTCATGAKCTCTTTTTATAAGCATCAAATTGAAAGCAAATAATCTGATTATTATTTTCTCAACTCAAATGAATTGATAAAATCAAATTGTTTATCACATTTTTGGATATATTGAGATATAAACATTAATCAATAAGATTTTCCAAAAACACACAATAATAATAGTAACGATAAAACGTGATTACATGTAAAAATCAGGTTTTTGTTTTGTTATCGGTTTTGTGAACCTATAAGTTATAGGCTATTACTCAATGAGAGAGAGAGAGAGAGAGAGAGAGAGAGAGAGAGAGAGAGAGAGAGAGAGATAAGTCAAAACAAATGATGGTTTTCTAGCATTTGCTCCGATATTATCGTTAAAAAGAAATCATTTCCATATTATTGATAGATATCTGTCTTTTCTATTTCAATTGAAGCCGTCAGTCAATCACACAAAATGGTTAAATAAAAAAAATCAAGAACTGATTGGTGACTCTTCTTAACGATAGCCGAATAAATGGAAATATATATACATTATATTATATATTTTTGACTATTAATTTAACAATTAAGTTATCTATCGATTAAAATGACAAACTCGAGTACCTATCCCAGTGATAGCCTATCATTTATGATAGATGTCTGTCCCCTTCATGTGAATGACTTGAGGCAATAATTTCAAATCAATTATTTAAATTTATTTAAATATATAATTTTATAGATATTGTATTATTATATATATATATATATATATATACTGTATATATTGTATATCATATACTACTGTATATTGCATTACATTTTTAATGTCCACTCACTATAATAATTATATGACTTATAATTTTTGCTATTTTTTAAAGTTCATTGGACTTTTATTATAAAAAAAAAATATTTCAATATATATATATAATTTGATTATTAATTATTTTGATAATCATTTATAATAGATATTATTAAATGAAATTATGCTGGAAATAAAAACAAAATTTATAATTTTATAAAAAAATTAAGATTTATATTGAGTGCAATTTTTAAATCTATTAATTTTGTCAAAAATACATTAAAACAGACAAAAAATATAAGATCAGTAATACTCTTCGTTTTGTTCATTATATATATATTTATATATTTAGATAAATATATGATTTACTAACAATAATATAATATTTTTCAAATATTAAAGAAATCTTAGTTAATATTAGAAACCATTGAAATTACATTTGTTTAACAAATTTTATTTTATTAACAAGTTTTATTCAACTTTTTTTGGTAAAGACTACATTTATATTTATATATTTTAATTCAATTACTATTTTCGTCTATTGTTTTGTTTAGGTTTGTCTCTACTATTGCGATCGTGTCGTTCCTGTTTATTAGGTCTGTCCTCTCTATTTTGTTGTTGTTGTTGATGCTGATGATGATGTGGTGGTTGTTGCGGTTGTTGTTGAAGTCTCGGTGGTCTTCCTTTGTCATTTCTTTGTTGTCGAGGCATTCTTTCGGGACATTTATTCTGTTTGTGTCCAATTTTGCCACAAACACGACAACCTCTTCCCGTTGGAGGCGTTCCGTTAGTCAACAAATTTCTATCAAAAAAGTAGTCGTGCCAATACCGATACCTAGAGTCTAGACCACCATTAGGCGGACAACCAATTAGATTGCGACCTAAGATAAATGATGTCCAGATATAGACAGCCATTTGGGGTGAAACTCCTGCCCCCAAATTGTGAGACAATAGAAATGGGTCTAAAATATACAATAATAGTGGTTAGTATACCATACAACTAAATAATGAAAATATTTTTAATTAATCCATACCTTCAATAGCTATCTTAGATCCGGTCCACATCTTGTCGAGTCTTTTCAATGGTGCCAACTGTCGGCAACAGACAACGTACTCATCGAAGTTAAACATTTCCGAATAATATCTCAGAAATCCAACAAACAAATGGCCGACATTTTCATTATTAGGTTGAGGTCTCCAATATCTGTTAAGCATCTGAACGTTATCAAAAAACCAAGTGTCCCAACCATCTACCATACGTTCTTCTTTACGATCCAAACCAATCTCCTGAAGAACAGGAATAATACCCTTTTGTTGCAAATAATGAATAGTCATCAACGTATAGGCGTATGAGGAAAGACTGCCTCTGGAAGCGTCGCCAATATCACAGGTCTTATAAAAAAAATAATTATAATAATTATTTTTCAATTCAATTATTCTAAAAGAAATTTATTATTACTTTAGCAAAATGTTTGACAACAAACCCCAATACTTGAACGCGAGGGTCAATAAATGTATAAAGTCTTAGCCATTGAGTGTTATATCGGGCGAGAATGTTATACAGACTGATATCACACTCAACCAATCGATTCCTATCGAAAACGTAACAAAACTTAACGATCGGTACTTTGGCCGACACTATAGGTATAATATTTTGAAGTCTTTGATGAGTATTGAGTATTTCGCTGACATTCTCAATGATGGCACCAAATTCGAGACCTTCACCGGTAAGGTTGTCATCAAATGTCAAACAGATATCCAGATCGCAAAACTTGGCGCCAAAACCATTCTTTGTCGAACCAAAGAGTTCGAGTCTTGCATGCGGTAACTGTTGGCGAATAAAGTCCTGTAAATCTCTTAATATATAATCTTGGATTTGTTCTTCATTTTTGTCCATACGTTTGGCCTCATATATCTCATAACAAATTTGATTTAATAGTTGACTGTATTGATAGTCAATTTGATTTGGCAATGGTTTCAATGGCGGTAATTGTGTTTCGGGACATCGATTCTGTAGATGACTATATCGATGACAAAGACGGCAAAACTTTGGTGGCAACTGAAAGAATGGAGCTTTGTTTATATGAAACGATGCATATAATTGTTTGGCCGGAATTAATCGGTAAGTGCTCTCTAATTCGGGACTTAATACCGCTTTGAGACCAAAATGTTTTAAAACTTTAGTCATTCTCTGATGCAAATTGTTATCGCCTTTATTTTCTTCTTCAGATTCCGACTCTCCCTCACTATTTCGTTGATTATTAGTTTCAGTTTCGTCTAATTCGCTACAAATTTCATTGACTTCAGCTAATAGATCACTACAATCCATATTATCATAAATTTGTTTATTGACCACAACATCAAAATCTTTTTCAGAGAACAGTGGACTCGCTCTGACATTTGAATTATAGCTGGCGTTTGATAAGACATTTACAAAAGGAATGGCAAAGTATTTGAATGAATGTTTCAATTGTTCGACAAATACGTTATACAATCTCATACTTCCCACAGAACGCGACAAATTCAATGACGGACGGGTCGGGTCTTCGACGGCTAACATACGAGTCGACCAGCGTTTGTCTCGTTTTCTATGTAATAAACGAGTCGTACGAATAGATACCACATGAGTCTCGGAGTCAAACTCTGAGGTATAATATCGAAACATTTCTAACCACAATTGGCCGACACTTTTGTGATTAGTTTTCGTCCACTTAAGTGCATTCAAATTGAATTCTTCTTCGACCGCATCGTTATCTTCATTAAACTCTTGTTTCGATGAATGGCTCATATTTTGCACTTCAGTTGGCTTAGTATTGCTTGAGTTTTGCATAATTTCGTGTAGACAGGGAACTACTGGCGGAGAACAGCGTTGCAAAAAATGAATGACCAAAATGGGAAAAGCAAAGGCCGGCCAAAGACCATTCTCCTGGTCATCAAAACGATACATTCGGGCCCACTCTCGTAGAGCGACACCTAAAACGGCAACTCTATTATCAATATGACAGTACTGTTGAAGCAATTTCGAGGATCGGTAGCTCTTCTCGACTGTAATCGAGAGCTCGACTTCAAAGCGATGTGTTTTGTCTCTGAAATGAACTTTCGGTACTTTCAGATTATATTCATTCCTAACGTTTGTAAACTCTCTGTCATTTCTTTTGATTAGATCTGATATCTTTGACAATACCATTGATACAGAACTTATAGATTTACCGTTTGTATCGCCACTCTCTGTATGACCGCAAACTATATCAATATTAATGTCTGAATAGTCTCTCAACGCAAAGCCATTAATGGTTGAGCCGTAGAGTCGGACCGAATAATCTTTGAGACCAGTGTTACGTATCATTGCATTGACTTTGTCTATCACTTCGACTCGTTTGTGATAATCTGTTGGATTCAATGAATTCTTCTGATGTATCAGTTCTAGCATTTGCGACAATTTAGTGGCCAACGGCTGACTGTCAATAGGCAGTGAAGACAGAAATATAAAATTCATCAGTTCGTCGTGTCTTTGTTTGTGTCGCTCGGATGTGATGTGCAATTGGATGGACTTGTGGTCGGAGGTCAGCAAACAGAGTTCGCATTTGACTTGTTTGGTCTTCAGACAGTCGGTGTGAGATATGGCGTGAAGTCGACAAAAATCAAGGAAATCTTGTTCGCATTGACAGCCAGAGGTGGGGTCCGAGCGCTTGTTGGCCACCTGTGATAGCGGTGGCCACTGTTGTTGCGGTTGCGGCGGTGAAGATGACGACGATATCACGGACGACACTTCATTTGAGTTGTAGAAAACACGTGACTTTCTCGGAGGATTTGGTGGCACACGATGTCTAACACCGCCGTTTGGAGACGATTTGGTGGCCATTTGGCGGTTATCGGTAACGATGGCCAGCGGTTTGTCTGAAGAAAAAACGGATCAAACGCTGGCATTCAATGCATACAAACAAACACTAAAAACACTTTTATTTTCTATTTGTTTCACACATTTATTGTCGTCACTGTACTTGTCGTACACTTTATGTACAATTAGTTAATACAATAAGCAATTAAAAACAATTAACAATACAATAAAAAGTACAGTTTTTTAAGCCAAACGTTGACATTAATACAGTGTTCACTCATTGTATACTTTTGTTTAATAATAACAATAAAATATGTCTTTAATATTTATATTCCCCATTGAATATCATTTTAATGCAATTATGTATATAATAACARTAATATTTTAGCAAACAATGTTGACGTAATTTATTTTCAATGTTATATGTTTTGTCAAACACATTGCCAATTGAATTGTTGTTTAAAACAATTTGTTTTACTTTTTGCTAAAAATAAAAGTTTTTTTTAAACAAATTATTTGTCATTACTTCAACTGTGGATCAGTTGTGGTGACATTTCATTGGGATTTTTTGTTATCAATTTATTGATTGATTAACTGACACAACAATAATCCACAAAAATCGTGTTTTTCAGAGATTTTTGTGAAATTGTGTCCACAGTTTTGTTTGTTTCTCTACTAAACAAACCATTTGATGATAATGTCTGAAGAAGTCAAGTATGTCTTGAATAAAGGATTTCATGTCATTAATTAAATTATTGTTTTTTGAATTTGGATTAACTAACAGATTATTACAACCGCTTCAGTATATAAATGAATTTCTTGTAAGGTTTTTAATTATGATATTTATTTACCACCGATGATAACACGTCTTGTATTTTTTTTATAGAAAAACGGTGTCAGAACTGATGGCAGAAAAGTGGATGACTTTCGACCAATGCTTTTGAATTGCGGTATTGTTTTGTATATTTGAAATGTCATAATTGATTATTAATTTTCTTTATGGATTAATAATAAACTTTCAGACACTGTGGGAACCGCTAACGGGTCTGCAATGGTTAAGTTTGGTAGCAGTACTGTCATCTGCGGCATAACCACTGTTTGTCTTTAATTTATTCAATCATTTTCTGATTTTAATTGAGAATCAATTGATTATTTACAGGAACTYATTGAAGCAAATCCCGAAACACCCGAAGAAGGCCTAATCGAGATTACAGTCGAATTGCCTGCACTTTGTTCGGCCAAATACTGTATGACTGATTCAACCAACGATGCACTTGTATTGACACAATCGTTGAATAACGCCATCAAACAAAGCAAAATCATTGATCTCAAGAAGTTATGTGCCGTCGAGTCAAAGGTTTTTTGTCAAAAAATTTCTTAACTTTTAATATATAATTGAATCAGAAATTAATTCACTTTTTTTAATTTTAATCAGTTTGTATGGAAACTCAACGTATCTGTGATTTGTCTCAATAATGACGGAAATCTATTGGATTTAAGTCTAATAGCAATAGTCTCTGCATTTCATTCATGTAAAACACATGTTTATTCAATTTATTTAAAACAATTTGTTAATACAGTKTTTGTGTATTAATAATAAATTAAATTATTAGGTTCACTGAAATCAATTGTTATCAATGAAGATAATACCATAACATACGAAAAGCAAAGTAAACCTCTTGAAGTGAAAACATATCCGATCGCAACAACAATTGCTATAATTAATTGGTTTGTTTTTTTAAAACATTAAATAAATCACAAAATTATGGCTAATTTTATGTAATTTTTGTTTTTAATTGTTATTATAGTATGTGTTTACCCGATCCGTCGGCAGATGAAGAATGTTTAGCCGATACTGTTATCAATATTGTTGTCAATGCAGATACCGGTGTCATTCATTCGTGGTATATGACGGGAACTGCAAAACTTGATAACAATTTTTTTGGTAAATGTTATAAAATTGCCAAAAATAGGTCAAAAGTAATCAAACAATTGATTTTATCGAATTGTAATTTGAAAAATAATAATTTATAATTGATTTATATAAATGATATTATAGATTTTACATGTATTTTATATTTTTAAAGTTATGATTTATGGAAATAAATATACTGTAAGTTATAATACTGTATTTAACAATCATTTCAAGCGATTATAATAAATAAACATATTATTTGATACATTATTATTTAATGTCATATAATATTGCTTTAAATATTAATATACATTTTAACACAAAAATTACTGGTATTAATATATAAAATTATTTGTTTAATTTAAATTAAACAATTGSAATATTTWTGCGATACTAAATTAGCAAAATTTTATAACTTATATTGTATATCAAATGTAAATTACCCACATAATATACAGTACAGTAGTACATAATGCCATTTATTTAACAAAACTTTTAGATAAAAGAGAAATACTTTTTTAAAATAAAAATAATTTTATTACTAAAAAAAATACCGTTATTCCCATTACATAATAACTTAATGTTTGAAAACTTGAAAGTACATCAATAAAATTGTCAACAGGAGGTAAGATATTGTAACAAAATATTTATATTTGTTATCCTATTTAACCCCTAAAATTACATGCTTGCCATCTAATAAAATATTATCAGGATTATTAGCTTTATATAGATTTATTATATTGTAGTATTATTTAGGTCACTGTTTTTTTCTGATTTTAGTTAAATTAATAAATTTTATAATTTCATATTTAAAATATTTATTTTTAATATTTAATTGATAATTTTAATTATTAAATTATTTAGCATTTGTTAAATTGATAAATATACAGTAATTATATATTGTATATAATTATTATATTTATAATTACCGTAAWWTAAAAATTAGAGAAAGCGTTATGAAAACAATGTCATAAATTTATTAATTTAGATTATTATTATTATTATAAAAATTATTTTTTATCTAAATTTGATAATACTATATAATATATAGATATAAATAAATTTATTTGCAAACTTGCAATAATAATAAACTTTGTAAACTAAATATAAAAAAGTATCAAAGGATTTATAATATAATTTAGTTTATTTAATCAAATAATTATAATTATTTGACAATATAATCAAGTTTTACGACAATTATAGACCCCATATAAATTATAATCATTAAATGGTATCACATGTCATAAAATAACATCAAATTTAATTATAAGTATTGCATTTACAGTAAAATTTTGTTTCTAATAAATAGAGAAAGATTTGTATGAAAAATAGTTAATTCAGTTTTGTTTTGTACAAAGATTTTGACGGTTTGTCGACCAAAATGATGTACAAAACCGCACTGATTGTTGCTTTTGTGGGAACGGCTATCGCATCACTAGTTGTAGAACCGGAGCCTCCGGTCGACTTTAGTCAGCACCAGATCGTCAAAATCCTACCAAAACGTTTCGGTGATTTGCAACGATTGCATCGACTTCAGGATGTCTTTGATGTGATAATATTTTTACATTTTTAATCAATTTGTTTTACACACAATTATTTTATGTTTTGCAGACCAAAGTTGACTTTTGGGGTCCACTAATGCGTGATATGCGACCAGTCCTGTCACTGGTTGGTCCCGATGGTGGCCAAGACTTTCTCAGAGCTCTTAACGGTTCACGCATTCAGTACGAAGTGGTGGCCAATAGTTTTCAGAAAGTGATTGACGAGGAAAGGGCTGCAAACGAAAAGTCTGCTTTATATAGTACTCGTGACTATGATTACGATACCGTTTATCACACATATGAGGATATTGTGGCCGAAATTAATACATTGCAATCCAAGAGTATATATTTTTATGAGTTTATTATTATTATATATAATCAATTTGTTTGATCTGAAAATAAGGCAATAAAGTAAAGACTGGTGTCGTGGGAAAGACAACCCAGGGAAGAGATATCCCATACATTTCCATTACAAACCCGAACGGGGGTAACAAGAAAGTCATATTTTTTGAATGCGGTAATTATTAAGTTTTAAATTGTGTAATAAATGTTTTTTAAAATTTATATACTAATAATACTTTAAATTAACTGTCAATTCAAAGGTATACATTCACGTGAATGGGTCACCACAGCTGCCTGTATGTGGATATCCAATCAATTGATATCTACCACAACTTATGACAAATATCTGGACAAATATGAATTCATTATTGTTCCCACACTTAATTCCGACGGGTAACTTACCATAACTTATAATATAATCTGATTTAATACATATGAAAAAATCAATATATTTTTAATTACAAACAAAAAAAAGTTATGTGTATACGTGGACAACCAACAGGAACTGGCGTAAAACTCGTTCACAGAATGGTCTGTGTTATGGCGCTGATCCCAATAGAAAGTATGGTAACATACAATAGGAAATTGAAAAAAATATAATATTTTTGCATTTATATATATAGCTGGGACGCCTCATTCTGCACTCAGGGAGCCTCGACCAACCCGTGCAGTGATACCTACTGTGGAAAGTCGGCTTTCTCGGAACCGGAGGCCAAAGCAATGTCTGAATTAGTCAAAAAAAGCCAGGGCAATATTGCCGCCTATTTTGCTATACATAGCTATAGCCAACTCTGGATGTACCCCTGGGGCTACAAATATGATGAACCATCTAATAGTAAACAATTGGTACGAAACTAAAATTGTTTATTAAATAATATATAATAATTGCTTCAATTKGTTTTGTTTTATTATTTGACATCCAGAATGATATCTCCAAATCATCGGTGGCCGCCATTAAAGCCACAAATGGCCTAACCTTTCAATACGGAAGCATTGCTAACACTATTTGTAAGATAGRATTTTARTAAATATAATCAATTGAATTATTTTTTTATTAATTGTTTAAAATTACTTATTAGATATAGCATCGGGATCTAGTATTGATTGGRGTAAGAMTGAGTCTATTTAAATATAATTATTCATCAAAATTCATATATAATTAATTATATGAATATTTTGTTTTATGTAGCATACGATAARGCGGGWGTGCAAATATCTTTTGCTCTGGAGCTCCGGGATACTGGAAAATATGGATTTATTTTGCCACCCGAGCAGATATTRCCGGCTTCYAAGGAAACRTGGGCCGGTCTCAGAGCAGCCATYGATAATTTGCCTTAAARTTCATTATTACTATTATTATATTAAAACAATTTTTAAGCATTTATGCATATWTTATTGTATTAAAAACATTTATTTTCGGCACAAGAAAACTTATATATCAGTAATTTTTAAAAAATCAAATTTTGTTTAATGTGATAAATAAGTAAGGTAGTTTTAAAACAAACTGATTAAATATCTAAAAAAATCTATATAATAATTAAATATTAATAATTATTAAGTCAAAAAAAACAATTACAGTTAAGTTTAAAAAATAATACAAATATTATTAGTAATATATTATGATAATAGTATAATATTGTGATTTTAGTTAAATGTATTTATATTACGATAATTTTCTTTTATTGTCGATAATATTTAAGACTTCCAAATGCATACCATATTGGTGTTTGTCGTCGATATAATAAACTTATTGTCATCACTCATACAAACTGATCGAATKATTGTCTAATTATTAACAAATTTTAGAAATATATATTAATATACAGTATATAAAACAAATTAATAATAAAACATGAAAATTGTTTAAAAAATACCGGATTCTTAGTCCATGTGATATCTTCACCGAGAATGAGAACCGGTTCGACACAATTCCTAACTTTTAAATCAATAACTTTATAGACAAATATCTTTCCAGAATAATCACCACATGCTATAAGTCCACAGTTGTATGTCATCGATATAAACTCGATGGCCGACTCATTTGGACACTTTGAGTGCTTCAATGTTGGACCCATTTTATAGGATAATTGATAGATCTGATTGGTCTTCGATGACTTGTTTTCTGCTTGTTTTTTCAGTTGTTTCAGTGTTGACATCATTTGATCCAAATTGCAAATAGTTTGCAAACAATCCAAAGAGACTGAACGAAATACAATCATTGAGTTGTCCGGTATGTAAATCATACTGGACACACAATTTACTTTGCGGCCCAAAGTCAAGGAGCCTTGATATGGTCTAAACAAAACAAAAATCATCAGTAATTTACCGAAAAATATATATTACCGATAATATAATAATTATAATGTAAAAACAGAAAATAAAAATTTCTAAATAAAACTATACTTTTCTTTAGAAATGTCTGCAATAAAAAGCAATTCATTAGATTCGCCGGAAACGATCAAACAGTCATATTTGTCGATATAGACTAATGAAATAATTGTGAATCTAGTGGTGAATCTTAAAACAATGGATGACTGGCTTTTGACAAGAGTTCCGTCTAAATTAAAAACCAATTTCCAGACAATAACCTTATGATCGGATGTACCGCACATCAAATAATTGGGTTTTTTCGGATTAAATACAATGGCTGTCACCTCTTCTGCGTCAACGTTTAAACTGTCATAAGTTGTTACCAATTGCTGATCTTCAGGTTCTTTGCAAAAATAGATGAACCATTCGGAACCAATGACACAGACATTAATAAATTTATTATTTTCAACGATAAACTGAGTGTAGGCCACACACCGTAGGTTATTATTATTGGGCGCTTCAAAAGTGCCCAATGGTTTGTACGAGTCGTCCAAATCATACCAATTAATACACTTTCCTCCGACTACTGCTATCACGTGTCGATCATTCTCTGAATTGTTTGGTACGAAACAACTGTTCCATACGTTTGTGTCGACATTGGTCTTAGAGTGCGTCAAATACTTATCGATAGTGTAGTCAACCGTTTTATTGACTGATTTTGTCGAACTGATTGYTGGTTTCAATGAACTGATCCTTGGTTTCAATGAACTGATTCTTGGTTTTATTATCGATGAATATGTTTTAATTGATTTTGAGTTTTGATAGCTCGTCACTTCGGGACTGTCATCGGCCACTGATCCAACCGATTGGGTACTTGAGTTTAACTTACATATYGAATGATCGGTCACTAATTGGTCCATTGAAATGTTACTTCTATTGATAATGTCTTCATCAATAGCATTATCTACTAATTCATCTATCGATTTATTATCCAAATCATCGAGTGATACATCATTTTGATCTGATTTAAGRAATGGTTGATCACTGTTGTCGGCGGCAAACCGTTTAATCGACGACTCGTTGAACGATTCTTTTCGTTTACTTCTTTTGGTCACAAATGAGTTGATCTTTTCCGATAATTTCATAAATTCATTCATATCGTCAACGATTTTCAGTCTTTGTTTTCTAAGATCTAACTTCTCATACATTGAGTCGTGACCTAAGATTATACTGACTTTAATCATTGAATCAATATTATTATCATCGATGTCCAGCTTATCATTGCCACTGTATAACCAATCAATTATAGCTTTTAAATCATCTCTTTTGCAATCATTGACAACAATATGATTGTCCGATTGATTCAATAATTTGTGGCAATTCTTTAGCAGAAGAAAATGTTTGTTCACTTTAATTGGTTCTTCATTTGTTGCAAAACGAAACTCAAAGTCTGTCGACATCTTTGCCAAATCAATGGCCAATTTTCGCCAATCGCTGTCAAAACTAATGGACGCCGACTTTGTGTCCACTTCAGTGAGATCTGAGTCCATATCACTCATGATTTGGTCAGTTAGTCGTGTCGTTAACTCTGAGGCGGCCATTGTTTGCTATCACCGAAACAAAACCAATTGAAAGATAAAATAAAGTATTKATGACACAAATCAATGACAATTTGATTGAATAAAGTATTGTTTGGCAAACCATGTGTTGGCAATGCTGTCAATCACTTATAATAACTTATATAACAGTAATTAAGTATTAAATACTAAATGTTTTTTTGACTAAAAAAACTGTATAATTGTTTGCAACAAATAATAAACTTTTATGATATGTGCTAACAATATATGATATACTGTACTGTATATCATATACCGGGTAATCAGTTAATCAATTAATTTGTTTTGATTACATTTAATGACCAAAAAATTAGTGGTCAACCAAAATCTTCGACCAATACATTGATTTTTTTTATAAAAAAATAATTAATTTAAAATCATCATTGAATTAATGAAATGATACAATTTTTTTGGTGAAAAAATAAAATGATAACAAAAAAAACAAATTTGTCGATAATTTTATAAACACTACTAATTAAAATTTTTTATTCATATTATTATTATTATTACAATTATTTATATCACATTAATTGTAATTATTAAACAAAAATATCAATATTTTTTATACAGTATATAATGTTGAGTCATAAGTTGACTTATTAAGTCAATTATTGATTAAAATTATCCAAATATTTAATACATTAAACAAATAATAATTAGAAAAATAAATAAAACTACATCTACTGTATATAAAAACATTTTGTTTGTCGAAAAAATAAAATAAATTGATCATGGTATATAATGTTTTTTTWTATAAAAAAAATTTGATATCTATATATGTATACCAAAAATAATAAAATAATTGTTTAAAATTCATTATCATAGACCAGTTCCAGATATGACTGGTCGTGATGTGTTTCTGTCGGATAATTTATATAACAGTCCAGCTTTCGTATGTCTTCACCGGCCGTTTTCAATAAAAATGTTGAATTAATGTAACCGTTTTGTCGGTCAACACAATAGCAAAACGATTCGGAACACTGAAGAGGAAGATAATTGCCATTCTTGTCGCAGATGTATTCGCTAAACATTTCGGTCACTTTGTCCCGACTTTCATCCGGTATATCTTTGAACAGTTCCTTATCTCTAACACAACCTTTTTTGTGTTGTTGTATACAATTTATATATCAATTATTAAATAAATAATAATTAGTTATAAAAAAATGATAATATACTGCATGTCTGGCTGTAGGCATAGTCGATGTCAGTTCGGGCCACTTGTGTGTCATGTATTTTCTCGCCTTTTTTGTTAACACAATAACAGCTAACAAATAATAAATGAAAATTTTTCAATTTTAAATAACAATAAGATTGTTGTTATTTTTTTCATCGAAACTAACTGATCATTGAGACACTGGACGGGTGCATAATTGCCGTCCAAATCACATTTGGGAACGTCGTAACCGACAACCATATATTCTTCGTCTTCTAAGAGTTCAATATTTTTTATGGCCTCAAAGTATCTCTTAATGCAATCAGTATTATATGAATAGCTTTCGTGGGCTAATAGTTTAAGGACACAATAAAAATGTCAATAATTATTATCCATTTTTAAAAAAATATATATAATTACTTTAATTTAATAGTCACTCACCGCACGGTAACTGATCGGTGTTTTGTTTACTGACAGCTCTCTCGTGTAATATACCGTCGGTTGTGTTGACACAATAGGTAAAATTGTTGGTCGCCTGAAACGGCTCGTAGTTGCCATTGGCTTTACAGCGCATGAAAAATACCGGATCAATACTGAACTGGTGTTCCGCTAACTCCCGGTTCAATTGATTGAATTGTCGCGAACATACTGTCCAATTCAAGTTAATCCAGTTGTTAATTATTAATCATTTGATTTAGTAATCTTTATTTATGAACAAACAGTTTTAAAAAAAACTTACGACAATTCATATCATCGATTTTGTCATAAGTGGCGGAACCGAAGATTCTATTACCGTTTTTGTCGACACAATAACAACTAAATTCATTGATTAATTAAAAAATAATAATTAATAGTTTTTGTTGATGATATAKATACTGACATTTTTCTATTATYTTATAGTTATAAACAAATAAATGGTACAAACATTGTGCCATTTTTGCACTGCACTGACGAATACTCGCCAAACTCGTCGCACTCGGGAACTGGTGGTCCGGCGGCCAACTCATTCATATTTGTGCTAATATTAACCCGTGCGGCCTCACAACCATTTGGATCGATATCAGATACTATTGATTTGGAAAAACATCATAATTATAAAATAATAAATATATATWTTAAAAGTATTTTATATTAAAAAAAACTAAATAAATAAATTTAGAGTACTTTTCTTGCAGATATAACTAATTTTTTTATTTGTTGTCTCTTTATTGCATTTAAGGTGCGGTTTGCACATTGTTTCGGGAATTATACCCGACCTGTCGGGACTACACACTTCGCCTTCATCTGTAATTATGGAAACCAGTAGTCATTAAAATAATATCTATTTTTCTTGTATTGTTGTATTGAAAAACTCTAATACTATTGATACCTAATTCTTTAACACATAGATGACAACAGCCACAAATGGTAGCATTTTTATAGACTCTCATATCCGGTCCCTTACAGTGAAATTCTGGACAATTTTTGACAATAGCTGTACAGTAGGAATCAGTACAGGTGACACCCTCTTGACCAATGGCCACGTATGACAACTGGCCAATCAGAAATATTAATACTAATAAATAGTTGATATACATGTTAATTATGAAWACATTAAAATTATGGTTATTATTATTATTARTATATTGACAACAATTTTTCTATTAATGTTGATTTCATTGACATAATTGTAATATTATATTACATACTGTATATTGTATGTTATTTTGTTTGTTTCATAACTATAGTGGCATTCATTTGAGATATTTTTTCTGTTATTAATAGATAACAAAAAAAGAGATAAAAACCAATTTCTATGACATTTAACATTTCAATAATGCCTGATATTGTATGTAATCATATTACCGGTAAGTGTTATTATATTAATATTATGTTTTGTTTGATTTATTTACGGAATTTCTAAGAAATCCTGTATTAATTTTTTTTAAATAGCACAGTATTAAAAATATTTGATATTTTTAAAGTATTTTTTAATTATTTTTAAATAACTAGAATATTGAATGAATATATAATATTTAGACTGTATATACAGTATATACAGACTAAGTATRTATTAAATWATTAAATAATTTTATTAATTTATATTTTTTCTATTACTGTAAAAATATATTTATTTATAGTAAAAATTAATTTAAATAATTTTTATATTTGAATTATTTATAATCTGCAATGAAATTAACAAAATATATGCAAATTATTATAATGGAGTTTAATTAAAATTTTTATAATAAATCTGATTATAATTTATTAAAATTGCTGACAACGTCCTATTAAATATATCGTATAATATTTCCACACATTTCCTATATTTAAATATTTTTATGCATTAATATGCAATTTATCTCATTATAATAATTGATGTGTCTATTAATGATAACAACAAAAATGTAATCAATTATTTTTATTTAATATGTTTTTAAGGTAACATTGAAAATGGAAAATGTATTTTATATAAAACATTTATATATTAGTTTTTATGTATTGAGCCCATATACTGTATATATATATATATATATGTTTATTAATATAAAATACGGACTTTATTGATCACATCAGCGAATCTATATGTAATGGTCATTGAAAATCAATATACTGTAGTAATAGTTGGGAAAATAATAACTTCTAATTAATTTTTAAAAAATATTTTTKTTGTTGATATTTTAAGTAATAAATATCTATAGTATCCTCATATACTGTATAAGCAATTCTAATATTATCATACATTTAGTATAACACAATACAAATGGTATTCAAAAATATATTAATAACATTAATATAATTTAATACTAATAAAATAATGTTATTACAATTAGTTATTATACTGTAATAATTATTATAATTCATTTTTAAAATATAAAAAATAAAAAAAAACAAAATTAACATGGTGATCGCATAGACAGAAATTTCTTGAAGTTTTTAAAAAATTTTCTAGAAATTTCTCAATTATTTTAGAAATTTCTCTTTTTTGCCAAATTTAACAATATTTGAGGAAAGTTATGTGTGAATGGAATGTGCTTTTACTCTAATACCAGTGCTTTTCATACACAAAAATGTCAAAGGTTTCTGTGTCATCGATTGATTACTAATACTAAATAATTTATGTTATTTGGAAACTTGTTTTTAAAATTATATTAAATTATTTTTTAATGATTAAATTTATACTGAATCTGGTTTTATTTTTATGTAGATGAAAAATTAAATAATGATGATGATAATAATAATAATAATACTGTATTAACTTTTAATATAACTTATTATTAAGTATATAATTGTATAGTGTTTATTTTATTATATTGGTAAAAATAAAATTTTTCTTTATTTTAATTTTTAATAAAAATAAAATTATAATATTTAATAATTATTTTTGACACCTTTTCTTATATTTGATAAACAAATTGATAACATTAAAAGTTATTAATCAACAAAGTTGTTATTAAAAAAAACATACTATCAAATATATTGCTATACTATATCATGTTATAAATTAAAAATAAAATACAAATTGTGCAAATTATAATAAACAAAATAATTATTTAATTGTTATAAAATTTTTACTTTTAGTTATTATTATAACCTCTATTTAAATATATACTGTAATATAGAAATATCATATGAAAGTTAAAAAAAATGTTTTTCTATGCAGTATTTAAATTAAATGCTAATATAACTAAATTGTAAAATTTCATAATTATTGTCACACACTATGAGTTTATTTTATATTAATTACTGTCAAACGATAAATTAAAGTAAAAAATTTGATAAATGAAAATTAAATTGAAGATAATCTAATAGTAACTTAAAATTATAGTAATTATATCAATCAATTTTAATTGTATAATTTTTTAAAATTTTATTATTGGATTAAATACAATGACATTTAAAATTTAGATTTAAATTAGAGACAAACTTAAATGTTTCAAATAACACAATTTGACGAAACATTTTTGTCATTATTAAAGTACTCAAAAATTTTCAAATTCATTCATCTTAATTATATACATAACTTTACTAATGATTTATTTTATTTATTAATTTTATGATAATTTTTGTAACAACAATAAATCAAACTTATGTTCACTAAAGTACAGAAATTTATGAAATTTATTCAAATATTTAATATATAAATTTTAATTTAAGAAATCTCCAATAATTTTTTATAATGAAATGTTATTTAGTTATCAATCATTTTTCTATAATTTAATAAGTTATAGTTAATCTTTACTGATAACATTGTTTATAATATTACTGAAAACAATATGAATTAATTAAGTAAAAGTTTTATTTGTGTTAGAAATCTTCGAATAAATTGAGATTCATTATAAATACAATTTGTATTTTTTTGCGTTTATACACTGTATAAATACATTATATAATATATATTGCGTATATGTTGTACATTATATGCTAAAAATAGCAACTTATAAAACAAAACTATTTATTAGGAAACAAAAACAACAACAAAAAATTTTGTTTGTAATATATAGGCAATAAATTATATGGAATTTTGCTTTCATATGAAAAACAGCAAAAAACAACAGAATATTCTGTAAGTTTTTAATGTAATTATTTGTTACCAGAGAACTGACACCAAAAAAAAAAAGTTATGATAGCTATTAGAGGAGTATCTAATTAAGTATCGATTTTACCAAAATGATAGGCTATTTATTTAAAATAAAATAATAAAATATATCATCAAATACACTATAATTGTCTACAAAGAGATAAAATATATACAGCAATTTTGGATAATAAWGGCAGACAATTATGATGATTGCATTGTTGGGGCAAAATATTTTCTGTACAACTCTATGGACATGTTTCGCATAGCCTATCATTATATACACACACAATAATATAATGATAGACACAATTTTATTGTCACAATTAAATTGAGTCTTTATTTTTTTGATGACCGGATCTCTTACTGATACTTTAAATTAAGATCCTCTACAGTAAATTGAAAACAATATTGAATAAAAATTATATACTATATAAATAGTATATATATAATGACCATACAATACAATACTTGACATAATTATCATTTATAATGATTTATTTTTAATTTACCAAAAATTATATTTATTTATATTACACTGAAACTCAATAGATTATTTTGTGATTTAGTATAATTGAAAAATTAAAAGTAAAAGTATTGTACAGTAGTTTAATTAGTAAATACTGAAAAAGACTATTTTTATTTTATTTATTTTACTAAATGATTTCTCATTTTGAATTTAGTATTTTATACATAATCTACTGTATAGTTTATTATTATTATTATTATTATTATTATGTGTATTTACTGATATATAAACTAAATGAAATACTTTTTATTATTAATAACATTAATCTATGCAAACTTAATAAACAGCATTTACTATTTAGATTTTAATTTTAAAGATTAAAATTATCAAATTTTAATTGCAAAACAATTTTAGTACATTTTGATTATATGTGCAAATTATTTGAAGAATAATAATTTTCAAATTTGTTTGAAATTTGCATAATAATAGTTATAAATTATAACTTATAATCTTAAATACATTATAAATAATTTATTTCAGTTTAATATTTATCGGGTATTTAGCAAACATTAATAAATAGATAAAAATTATTTTTTCAACTAAACTAACATAAAAAGTTATCCATATTATATTTATTTTTACACATCTATGTAATTGTTTTTCATTTATTTGTGATATTTTTCTCATTAAATTTATGTAATTTATGATTAATATAAATATGAAAATTTTATAAACGCAAACAACATTTACCTATTTATTTAATGAATCAAATATCAAATCAAATAAATGTAAATTTATAATATATTTTAATATGTATTATGTGATGATAGCGTTTTAATATTATTTTGAATGATGCATAAAATTGATGTCTAAAACTTGCGGTAAAAATTTCAAACAAATAAATTTTAACTATAATACAGTATAATAAAGTAAAGTATAATTTGCATATAAATAATAATATAATAGCACCAAAAAAATATTTTTGATGAAAAATTTAATAATTTTTGCTGTAATTTTAATTATTAGCTTAATTAAAAAAATTGTGTTAATATTGAGCGCACAAAACAATTTGTATTTTAAACCTAAATATATTTATATATAAATCAATAAATATATATTAAAAATTATAAAAAATTATTAATAAAAAAGTTAATTTTTCTTGAACATAAATATTAAGTGCTATATTGAAAACAAATGCTATATTTTTATAAAAAATGATTTATTATTAGCTATTTTAATATAATTCACATTATAAATTAAGCACAATATTGTTATATATTTGTTGCAAAATGTTACATAAAGTTTTAATGATTTTGTTTTTATTGTCTCAAAAAATTGAATATATTATACATTGAATACATTAATCATTGCAAATAAAAGTTTTCTTAAATTGATTTTAACTTAATAGTATAATTAATTTTTTATGTATGATTTTAATTAATTATATGGGTTTATGTTTTCATAAAATGTTTGTTTATAATTGATTTTTTTTGCAAAGAAAAAAACTTTATTAAGTTTGAGGTAAAAAAATAAAGCAAAATATCAATAAAGTACAGTAAAGTTACAGTATTTTACGTTTTTTTAGATATTAGTATCAATTTGTTTTTTTGTTGGTTATGTTTTTTATGGTTATTGAGTAGAATCAGTAATCGATATAAATGTTTAACATT